CTGCTTAACCCCTTAAGGACACATGACATGTGTGGCATGTCACGATTCCCTTTTATTCCAGAAGTTTGGTCCTTAAGGGGCTAAAGGGACACTTAAATACATAAAAATCACAGTTTCGTAGATATAGCCCAAATAAAAATGCCCATGTCTTTATGCATTTTGTTATTGAGGGTATATCTAAACACAACTTGCAAAAGATGCAAGCCCTCCTCTTCTAATCCCGCCCAGACTTTCTATGGCTGTCCAGTCACAAACCTCCCAAGGCAGCTTAATGAGAAGTCTTTGCAGGTGCTCTGAGCAATTGATGCCACTTTTTTAGCTTCACTGAGAAAATCAAACTAGGATGCAACAGGGTCTGTCGTCTGCTTGAAAGCCAGGGGGTGTAACAAGGTCAATTTATAAAAGAAAATATTTTGCAACTTTTTTATCGCTTAACCTGCCTCCTTAGCCACCCCTCCCTTTTCGCAAAACATCTTCCTAATTGGAAGTTAAATTCTGTAGCTCAGCCAATAAGATATCAGTACAAGCAGAGCTGCTGAGTTGACTTGGCCACCAAGCCAATCACTGTCCTCTTATTATCTGTATAGTATATAAAAGCAATTTAAAGAAAAAGGATCATATAATAATCACATGATGATGTCAAGAGGTGCCACACCAGCTGCTCAATTTATACTAATCTCTTATTGGCTTAGTTCAGAGTACGTCTAACAAAGTTGTTGCTTTGGAAAAGAGGGGCAGTGCCCGTTGATGTGAAGCTACCTTGCAGAAAGCAGCAAAACGTTCTTATTTTTAGCAAAACGAAAGAAATTTCAGTGAGGAAGAAAAAAATATGCAGCGACCAAAACTTGTGTCGAATTCACTTTAGTTTTGTTGTTGCATGAAGTGTTAACTCAAAAAAAAGTGAGGACATGATATAGAGAAGTATTTCTGGAGCAAAAATAGAAACACTGAAGGTTGACGGGGTTGAAAGTGTTGTGTAAAGGGAAATCTAACAGCATAGCCTACCCATTGTACGAAATATATTTGGGTGCCGAAGTTGTCCTTTGAATGGCGAATTTATTCTTGATCTTCCATTTCTCTTCCAACTGTATATCCTCTGAATCCCAGATGTAGCTTTTGATTAGCATGGAAAACTTTTAACTAACACAATACGCAATATATCAACAGAGCTATTGTTGTTGGAAGACGTCCAAGGCTGTGCTTCGAGGACACATAATTTGACATACAGAATACTAACAGAGGCAAAGAATCCCAACTAATATTGCTAATAAAAAAATTTAAAAAACTCAGCAAAGTATGTTCTTAAAACACAAAGAGGAATTGAATTCATAATAGAAGCAGACACTGAGCCGCCAAAATGAATACATGACAATATATTCTAAAGAAGCATAGAAATAAATGACATATGTTGCCGGCGTTATAATATCTCAAGTACGGGATTCATAATAATTCTATTGTTTAGAGGCTTCACTAACAAAATAACTGATGTTCAGTATGTCATAAATGATATTGGTGCTCGTAGTAGCAATCATTATACACACGTTTACAAAGGGAAATATCCCTCGAGCCAGAACACCAGAAATAAATCTTTATTGAAGCAATATCTGAAACATGTAAAAAAGTGAAGAAAACAAGGTGACTGCCTTGGGAAAAGGGGGATGGTTAGGTTCAGATGGCAGTAGTTTGTAGGAGTAGTCAAATACTGGAAAAATCTAGATTTCAAGAGGCCTTATCATGTAAATATACAATTTAATATACAGATTATTGAAGCGATGCAATACTCTCGAAATGGAATAGTTCTGACTTATGAGACAGATTTGCCAGAATTAGAGTGTGTAAATTATATTTTTTTATTCAGTCTTGCCTTCAACATGGCATGTCAATGTATTTAGTAGGGCAGTTGTACATGCTGGGCTAATATGGTGTATGAATGCAGAGCTTTCCGCAAATGAAGGAACAATGGACATGTGAACGGGGTATATGTGTGTCAAGGACTAATATGTATGTGTGACTGTAAAAGCAGGGAAATAGGTGTGTGGAAGGGTGTCTGTGTTAGGCTTGTGCATTCGATTTGAAGCTAATTGCAAATTTGGGACGACCGTTGTATTGTCTGAATTCTGTGACTCTGAAGCACCATAAGGAGGCATCATAAAACAAACGATATGGATAATTTATTTTCCAAATCATTTTCTTCAAATCATTTGCATAGCTGAAATTCAGAAAAAACAAATCAATTTTTTGGGGGGTCGAACTTCATTCGACCAAAACAAATGTTCTAGTCTCCATTTAGATATGTGTGCTAGGTTTTGTCTCTCTGTGTCTTCCAACAGTAACATGTGAAGTGTGAATCTCTCAATATGCACATGCAATAACTGTCCATAAACCACACCCTCGTGCCTGCCTACTATCTATGAGATATTCCTCTACAACCGAGAAGCAGGGTGGCTAAAAGGATACTTTCCATCTCCCTGTCTCAACTGAAGGTCTACCTCAGGGCATAGTGTTGAGCAGATCAGGGCAAATGGCAGAGCAGGCAAAGAGTAGGCAGACCAGTAGGCAGAACGAGATTGATATAAGATCAGTCGACAACAGGTGGAGAGGGGAGATTAAATACATAGAGTGGAGGCTGTTCTGTGCATAGATAGGCTTAATTTCCTCTGTGCTGTGAGGGGTTGGATGGAAGGGACCATAGGCGTGCGCAGCCTATTGCATTAGGGTGTGCACCCTAAAGCACAAACATACGCCGCGTGTGTGTGTGTATATATATATATATATATATATATATACACATATATATATATATATATATATATATATACACATATATATATTCACAGACACACACACTCACAGACACACTCACACACACTGACACACACATACTCACACACTTACAGACACACACACACACACACACACTCACTGACACATACTCACACACTCACTGACACACACACTCACAGACACATACTCACACACTCACAGACACACACTGACACACACTCACAGACACATACTCACACACTCACAGACACACACTGACACACACTCACACACTCACTGACACACACACTCACAGACACATACTCACACACTCACACTGACACACACTCACAGACACACACTGACACATACTCACACACTCACTGACACACACACTCACAGACACATACTCACACATTTACACACAATCACAGACACACACTCACACACTCACAGACACACACTGACACACACACACTCACAGACACATACTCACATACTCACACACTCACTGACACACACAGACACACACACACACAGACACATACTCACATACTCACACACTCACTGACACACACAGACACACACACACACTGACACATACTCACACACACTGACACACACACACACAAATTATTATATTTAAAAAAAAAAATTTAAATGTCCACCCAGCCTCCTACCTGGAGTGCTGGTGGACTTGTTCCTGGGGTCCAGTGGGGGCGGGCGCCTTTCTCCAGCTCAGCCGCGGCGAGGGAGCTCTCTGCTTCCTCTCGCCGCGCGGGCTGTCTGCTGTAGCTGGGAGCCGGAATATGACGTCATATTCCGGCTCCCGGCATCAGCGCGCGGCGAGAGGAAGCAGAGAGCAGAGCAGCTGTTCCTGCAGGACTCAAACCATAGGCGTGCGCACGGGGATTAGGGTGTGCCCAGGCACACCCGGCACACCCCGTGCGCACGCCTATGGAAGGGACAGTCTCATACCCTAGCTCAGGCATAGGCAACCTTCGGCACTTCAGATGTTTTGGACTACACCTCCCATGATGCTTTGCCAGCATTTTGGATGTAAGAGCATTATGGGGGATGTAGTCCACAACATCTGAAGTGCCGAAGGTTGCCTATCCCTGCCCTAGCCCCTCAATGTTTGAGTTCATTAATTATTCTGTAATCAGTATGGTGCAGCTGCTGGGGAGAGGAGCCAATCACCTCTTCTCTCAAGGTCTGCACAATACTGCTAGCCCCTGCGGACTGACAGATTCCACAGATCGCTTGCCAGGGCCCAATATCTGCTCACAAACTGAGAATTTTGAGTTTGGGTATTACAGCTGTGAAAATGAACATTTCAAACAGTGGCTAAAATAAACTATAATCAACTCCAGCTGAATGCTTACTATCTTTTTGTTAAAATGACTCTGCATCTATTGTTTTAGCGTTGCACTAGTAGCCAGATGTGGGACCAATTTTCTGGAAACCCACCATTGCTTAATTGACCATCATAAAAGGAAAACAAGTTGAATTTTACTTTGATGGTCACATAGACATATTTAATCAATTGATTGATTGATTGATTGATTATTTAAAAAAATATTTATTTTTATGTACTGATTATCATCTAGCATTGAGTGCTTTGACTCCATCCTGGACTTGCTTATATCCAAAACAAATATTAAGACAGCATTTGCATAATTGTATATATGTATTTTTGACATAGATTTAATGGTGATTTAGAGGTTATCCTACGCCAATATTTACATAGTGTTCCTCCTCTATAATCTTACAAGACTATCTTTCCTAAAATTACACAAAACATTTGTTTGAATCTGTTAGTTTTTGAATTTGTGATAGCTGTAAAAATAAAAATAAATTTTGTGTACTGTAATTGCCTATTTATATTACAACTACAAACACTTATGGTAAATCAAACAAACAAATTAATGAAAACATATAAATAATGTTATGACCTCTAGAAAATGAAGGGGAATTTTTAATTAAAATAAAAAAAGTCAGTTTCTTTAATCTGCTGTGCTTTATGCATTGTATGATAATGTTTACACATTTTATTGATTTTTGAAGCTGCTTAAACAAAGATTTAAGGAATAATCCATGGTAGCGGCAGCTTAGCCTTTTTGAAGATTGTGTGCTCAGGGATAGAGCGTCCATCTATGTTCCGATGTGAAGAGCATACATTATAAATGTATACCATGCCAAACACTGATTTTCAAAAATGCATTTTTAACTTGTATACAAAAACAAAAACTAACTAATGACCAACTCGGAAAGGTATTATGGTTTACAGAGAATTAGTTTAACCCTAACCCAAATACTTGGTTCTGGTAAACACGTAGTGGCAGTTTTTATTAGGGAGTTTTTCTTCAGTAGCTGTCTCTTAGCAGGTCAACGAACAAAAGCTACAATCAAAAGGGCTATTTTAAAAAATGATGGTGTTTGTAAACGTATGTTAGTGGGTTGGAACACTCAGACAACCAGATCATTACATTAAAATGGAAAACATGTAACTAAAGAATATGGTAGGGTGCAATCAGGAGTATACCAGCTCCACCTCTGGTGAAAAAAATAGTATGCAATATACAAACAGACGCATACCAAAGTATTTGCACAAAAAATGTGAATCTTTAATAAACGCACAAAAATTAAAACTCTTTTACATGTTCAATTCAGAGATGCACAAGACACAGGCATTTCAAGTGTGCATGTGTGAACTTAAATCAGAAGGCAAACCATCTAGAGGAGCCATTATTTCATCCTCGATGACTTTCACGGAGGGAAGAGGGGGTTGTAAGATGGTCATATCAATATTACATAATGATTGTATCTTTAAATGACAGTTGCAGCTAAATTATTTAGCTTGTCTTGATAAATAAATGTTTCTGCATTATAATTAATGGTTCTGACATATATGAAGGATCAACGGTGTAGCATGGTGAGGGCTACAGGGGTGATTGCCCTAGGTGCAAACTTCTTCGGAATGCAAAATTTCAAAAGAAAACAAAAAATGAAAGTAGTAAATATACATTACAAAATGTTATGCCTTCCCACACACACAGAAAATATTCCAATGTTCGAAAATTCTACAGTTTTCAACGTGACAGGTCAAATAAACATAACATTTTTGAATATTTTCTTGGTAATTGCAGCCATACTGTCCTCATGTACTCTTCATCGCTGAATTACATAATGCCCTTTAATAGCGCCGGAATATTCAAAGGAAAATCACGCTTTTAATAGGCACTATGTAAATGTTTATTAAATTATATAGTACAGTAATCTAGTAATTGGTGCCTAGAAAGCCTCACTCCTCCTTCCCTACTTGCCTCGTCTCCGTGGTGTTTGGAACTGAAAGTTGCATTGCATACTTTTTAAAATCTATCTCATGGCGGGTAGGTAAGGCTTTCTTGGCGCCCGTTAAGGGACTTGGCGAGTGCTTATGATCCACATGTTAGAGGGCACAATGCTTTCCTTGCCATGGTGCTGGCAAAACACGCTCCGCCACTTTGAAGCATAAAAATCTATACATAGATTGTATAGGCCAACACTTGCAGGTTACCTTCCTAAAACAAAAATAAGTCAAGCTCTCTTCTTGGAGCAGCTCCTTGATGTGAAACAACAATGCCTGTGGAATCATACATCATTACTGTGGTTATGATTCTTCTGCATGGTAAGCCTTTTGTTTTGTTTTTCTATTTTCTAAAAAGCTATGAATAAATGAATAGATTTGAATGAATTTCCATATAGGGTAGTGCATGTCAAGCACATGGTGTCTGCAAATTCAGTTAGGCTCGGGAGGCAAAATTCTGAAAAAAGTCAGGCTTCTTTACTGTAACAATCCCTCTGCAGCATATGACCGGAGAAAGATCATGGTATGGATAAATTGGAAAACAAGCTGTAAAATAGCATTGAATTGCTTGAGAACATGAAAGGGAACAGGTTCCAAAGTAGTTCAGAACCTTTAGTGGCAGGCCAAACAGGAATGTTAATTCTTAAACATGATATGATGTGAAAGCTTTTTATTCTGTGTCCTTTTAATTGCTGTGAATATAATCTGGAGCGTATAGCAAATGTGAGCTGCTTTTAATTATATGCCCTTCCCAGCAGAATCAATTCAGTATTTTCTCCTATTTGAATTTTTTTTTTTGTAATTTTCTTTTTTATGGAGGTATATGGATAACACAACGAGGACATGCTTTTACGATATAACAGTGAAGAGAGACAATGGTTCAATCACATTAGCAAGCATTGAAATATGACACATCCTTTTTATATAACAAAATTAGGTTTTCCTCCTAATTTTTAACAACTTTGGCAGCAACACATTTTTTGATAGAAGCAAGAAAAAGAAAATTTCTGTTGATCAGTGTTATCCTTTCAAAAAACAGGTAAAATACTAATCTTTCACCTATTGATCTTTCACCAATGAATCATTTCTCTCTTTAGGGAACATTCCAAGCACAATAATCGCTACTGCCTGCTGTAGTGCATATGGTGCCAATGATGCCCTGGCATTCTCCAAGGATAAGTAGTAAAACCATTTGAATAGTTATATGGAGTCCACTGGGCTCATGTTACTGCCTACTGTAGAGTTGGAAGCCCTGCAATATAGAATCAACTCATTGGCGGAGAGTTTCAGCATTCACAAATGGTTTGGCTACTTTCCTGGCACCAGAGCCATTACAGCTGGAAATAGTAAGTATGGTGCCTGGCATGATTCTTTAATGGATATATTCAATATATATATATCTAGGCCTTGGATAAGATGTTACTCTGTTGGTGTATTTTCTTTTTTTTTTTTAGTTAAAGTTTAATAAAAATAATGTCACATGACTATATGTTGACTATATGTTGAGTACCACATAAAGGACCTATATTCCCTGTATGCACACATTTGATTCACAATAGTTAACTCCTTTATTCATACGAACCATAGTAAATCTTTCACACTATACAAATGAAAATGCTTAGTGTCTAAGCTCCATCTAGTAATAAGGAGTGCTGCCAAGTTTGCATTTTTTTTCAGAGTCCATAATGAGTTTACCATTTCTTGGAATTATATTTATTTTAAGAATAGGAAACCATGGGTATCCAAGTAAGCCCACATGCTATGTTCTCCATCACTTACCTTGCCAGAATACATTATGTCACATGTTATGCAATGAATTGTCTTAGAATTGTCAAAAGCAAGCTCTGGATTACAAATTCAAGTTGGTTTAGCTCATTAACATAAATTAATTTAAATTTTTCTTTTTTAAACGCATAAATACATAGTTATAATTGCAACTCATAAAAATACCAAGACATTCATTTTTTACTGTAAAACCAACACACTAGGCAAAATACGGACCTGAGCCTGTTTAAATCTATTTTTTAATGATTAAGGGACAATTACGTCACATGGTCAATACAATACTCATTGTAACCTTTGTTTGTCAGAACTATCCTAGTGAAACACCCTCTGTGTATGTCATTTTGCCAAACTAATCAGCCAACTCCTGCATGCACCATGTAGCCTATTCATCTTGGAACCTCGGTATTGCTCCAATCCTTCACCCATTCATGACTGATAGTATACCAAACAGGCTATACCTCAATTCTTACATAAAACTCCCATAATAGAGGGCTAAGTATGATTTTACTCTGTAGAGTGACTAGATTATTATTTGACATAGGTGTTTTGGGCCGCTTTCAAATAATTTAAAGCATGCATTGTATGGATGTTCTCTGATTCCCCTTGTATTGTATTTATTATTAACGCCTTGTCTTCCAGAGAAGGCATGCAAGCCAATTCCATTTTTCATTGAGCGTCTCACAGCTGTTGACATGGAAAACAGTCACACAGCTGATTCACAGCACTGCATAGCTACCAAGTGAAAACAAGTTTAGCTTTTGTTTAGGAGACAATTGGCAGCAGGATGCGGGATGCGCAGAGCTGTCAAACAAAGCATGTGTCTACTGGATTCACTCAATACATTCCTGGGCAGCTCAATCTGCCGAAGGATTCTGGTTCCAAACTTAATACCCAGAGCATCTGCTGAGCGGCTAAATCTACACGCCCCTGAAAATAAATCACTGGCAGAGCGTACAACTCCAAAATATGTTTTACGTATGAAAAGAAGAGCTACCCAGTAACAATGCGTGGTCATTTATTTTCAGATAAAAGTGTACTCGCTCCCTGCAAGCTGGTTGGGTTTAAAGCCTAACTCGATTAAATAAAAGTACAATTGTTAGTGCTTTTGAATAAACCTTTCACAGGCTGCTTTTAGTAACATGCTTTTGCATGCTGCAGCTTTCCACATATATTTCCTCTGAAGTCTAATGTGTTCTAATTTATTTATTTTTTAAAAGCAAAAAGAAACAATGCTCTGAGCAGTAGTTTGTTGCAAACTGTACTGAATTTAAACATTTAAACTGATGTGCCAAGCAAACCACTACACTGTTTAAAAAAAAAAAACAAAGAATTTTCCTTAAGGTTTTTTGTTGAGAGTAATCGTCTTCTTCATCTTCATATAAATATATATATATATATATATATATAACGCAAGTCGCATGGTTATGGAAAAGTGCATTTCTGAATAGATATTTATTCTTCTCTGCACCCTGAGAATACCAAATTAATATGGCATTTCAGTGCCACCTTTGAAGCCAGATGATCCAGTTTAGCATTAGCATTTAGAAGTTAATGTTTGGGATTAATGGTTTTAGGATTCGTAATCAAAGGTTATGGTTATCTATTAGGAGTTGTTGGGTTAGACATTAAGGGCTTTATAGAGAGTGATTGGGATTTAGGGTTAGAATTTCCATCATTAGAGCAATAATAGGATAAGCATCAGAGAATCAACTATATGATCCAAGGAACCGGCTGCATACACTATAAGGGTTCCCCTCAACCCCTTACTGCAGAGAAAACAGAACATTAGAGCAATGTAATTCAACACATCAATCACACCATGCAATAATCACTTAGATCATTTAGATGGCAAGTTGGTTTTCAGTAAGATGCCATAGATCCTTTCTGCAATTTTGGGGAGGGGGCAGCAGAGCTTTATCCTCAGAAGAACAAATGCCTGATCCCATTCTTTTTTCATTATGTTAATGTTATAAACAGGGACATTGCATTCTAGCAAAGGGTTTTTACTACAGGCAGAGAGCTTGAGAAAATATAAAAATACTAAAAATGAGATCTGTACTCCTTGAAGTAAAGGTCCTCATTGTCCTTCGCTACATCATAGAAACAGATCAAATGAAATATCTGCTCCATGAGTCTCAGAAGCCAACTATCAGAGGGGTGGGGGGTGGGGGGTTAGCTGTTGGAAAACACATAAAAATAAGCATACCAAAAAAGCTGAGTGAAAACCCTTGGAAATGATCTCCTATTCAACTACTTGGAACTAAAATTACCAACAGAAGTTATGTGACAAGGGCCCAAATATTGTTGAGGAA